ATGACAAGGGGAAACTTTATTCATGTTACGAACAGTATTACAATGAGATAACATATAAATTTTATTGTAAGGTAAATGCCCAAATCTGAAATGCCAGATGTCAGAGTTGCGAACAGAATGATGATTGCTAACAGAATTGGCAACAAAAGATTGATTTTGCTATGAGAGAAAAGATGTAATAGCATTATAATGATATAAGCTATTGCGCAGATCAACATAACCATTCATTTTGTTGGTAAGGAGGTCTTGCAAGTTGCAAGGTAACATGATTAGAACTACAATGAACAAATGTGTTATTATGTAATGCTAAGTTAGAAAGTGAAATGAGATTAAGGTTAAAATGAGGAACATATTAGGAAATTGATGTAACGTACCTCGAAAGTGCAACAACGGAAGTTTAAAAATTTCCCTGATTATGACAAAACACTGAATATAACAATAATAACATTTATGAGATAGACAAAACAACGGTGATAATCCTTGACCTTAGATATCCATGTGATATTTCCTTTCCGAAAGAACGGTTAGATCTCCCTCAGAAAAAGGCTAGGAAATCTCTTCGCAGGGAAATAAATTGGTGATACTGAATGTAGAAAAATTAATCTATCTAATTATGAAGAAGGAGGATGTATTTGTACTAGTTCTAAACTAGTTTCCCAATCACAGTGAAAGTCTTTCTCATTAATGACTTGTACTCCTAACAAGACCATAAATTATTAATGTTTTTATTAAATAAATTAAATAACATAAAACCAATGATAGGAGGGGAGGATGGCTCATGCCACATCATGCCACTCCTTCTTTTCATCTTATTTATATTCACAATTTCTTTTTAATTCTAAATCATAAAAAAATATTACCTTTATTTAATTATAAATACATCTTAATTAAGTATAATTAATTTAATTTATTTCACTTAATTAATTCTATCAAGTAGAACTATCCTTCAACATTATGAATTAAATATGTTTAATCTAATTAATATTTAATCCATTTTGAGTATTACGAATTAAATATTATTTAATCCAATTAATATTTAATTCCTTCTAACAATTCAATCGGAAGGTATAACCACTTGTTGTGTGACCCATAGGGCATTATATATATTAAGCACTAATCAAATGAAGGTCTTAGTGAATTTCTAGACGATTTTCCAGACACTTAATAGATAAGGACGTTTGCGAGGACTATTCAAACTCCCTGTAATATATAGCTCATAGTGATATAGTCCTTTCATTCAACGAACATTCAACTAAGTCTAGAATTTGATTTTGTGTATATTCTAATAACTTGTTCTCTCTCTCTCAATCTTTCTAGATGATCCATAACAATCATATTCGATATCCAAAAAGAATATATCTTTTCATTGACCAATGACTTTATGATCCAAAACAATTATATCTTCACATGCAAAAAGTATGAAAGTGTAGTAGTATACATCCAATAAATGAAAGATGAAGAACAAAGTGAGAAATAAAAAGCAAATGGTGATTCAAGAAAGTTTTCATATTTATTGACACACAAAAACAGTGCATCTCACCCGAAGGGAGTAACAAAACCTGGTGGGAAACAAATATGGATCATGTTATTTGATTGTGGAACACGTGTTGCGATCACAATATTGCGTTTGAGTCCATGAGAAAAATATGCAATGTAACTCTAACAAAACCGCAATGTGGCCGCATCGGGGCAACTTTAGGACCGCAAAATTAATTTTTTCTTTTTTATTTTGTTTGAACGTATAATTAATTTACATCACATCAGCCGCAATACGCATCAAACCATTCACGTAATAGCCACAATCTTAATTGCAGCCGCAATTGAAAACCTTGATATGGACTAAAGTGTAAATATATAATAATAATCTAACAAATACAAATTTATAAATGGTTGTGCTTAGTTCATAATAAAATTTTATTATATTGAACTTCGGGTCGTATGAATAATTCGCATTGGGCCTTTTACTGTTTTTCTTTTCAAATTTACGCGCTCTCGAGGCATGCCCCGAGCTTTACATTAGCCATTGACTATTTGTACAGACAATGACATAGCTAGGTAAGCAATGACGCCATCATGCTGGGAAGTAGGCCACTTTTGCTGCACAAAAATCAGCCGAAGAATTCTGCAGCAACCATGACCAGAATTATTGTCCATGCATGTTGAAAATGGGATATCTTCCAATATAAGGAACCAAACAATAAAAAGTTAATGAAAAACAAGTTAATGAGTCTTATTGTGAGAATAAAATAAGATGTTTTTACTAAAATATTACTAATAAATCTATGGACAAAAAATGACAATAAGTTACTATGAATAAGTCTTATAGTCACTATGATGTAATATTTGAATAAAGTTATAGTAACAAAAGTTACTAAGGTCACATTTTTGTCCACTACTTTTATTTTGGTTATATATTTTGAATATGTGCTACGTTTTGTTCCTATTTAGAGAATTTTATATATATTTTGGACATTAAAGATTATATATATATATATATATATATATATATATATATATATATATATATATATATATATATATAATTAGGTTCAAATGAGAAAGTGATCTTAAGAGAGAAATGAGATTGAATCTGGACCGTGAGATTGAATTCTGTGAAATCGAAATGTGCAGCACAAAAGGTAGGGCAAAGTGACATCATATGAAGCTAAATCTTGCATTAGGTGAAAGTGAAATGTGCATTAGGTGAAATTAAAATGTGCAAAACATTTTTGTGACTTTTGTCCTGCACATTTCAATTTTACGTAATGCACATTTGAATTTTAACTTTAATTTTGCACATTACAATTTTGCTTAGTGCACATTTAAGTTTCATCAAATACACAATTCAGTTTCTCATAATACAATTCATCGGTCCAAATTTATCCTCATTTCTCTACTGGGAGTCCTTTCTCACCGGAACCGCTCCCGATATATATAATTAGGTTCAAATGGGGAAATGATCTTAAGAGAAAAATGACAATTAATCTAGATAGTTAGATTTATATTTTGTGAAATTGAATGTGCATTTGCTGAAACTGAAATGTGCATGACATGAAATCGAAATGTGCAACACAAAAGGTACGGCACAATGACATTAAGTACGTGAATCAAAATTGTACATTAGTTAAAACTGAAATGTATAGAATAAAAGTTACAATGCGGTGGCATTTTTGTGGGTTTGCTGAATATGATATAATCACGTACACATCATCACAATATGTTGAAGTGGGGGTCCCACTTAATGAAAGAACAACATTTTCATTCTATTAGAACTTTCTTCATGTTTTATTCCTATTTTTACCAAGATGATGACTATTTGGAAACAAAACAATTTTTCTCACATAGAAGTTATTGTTTTCCCGAAATATGGCGCATTCACTCATATGAATGTTTATTAGTTGATTATTACAAGATGATAATCAAGATTTATTTCATAGTTACAATTCACAATTGAAACTGTAATAATAGACCATTTTCAAAAGATGAAAACCAGAGGAGAGCAATTGTGATCAGCTTTATTATGAGTTTTTGATATTGTTATATGCTTTATTTAGTTATAACCAATTCTTGTGTACTTTTAAAAAAAACTTTAACATAGAAGAAATACTATAATAGTTCTTTTTCAAGCGAATTTTTTATTGAACTCCAAAATCGCGTTTTCTTTTGAATCAATTTTTTTTATCCTTATCTCTCAGAAAAGATTTAAAAAATCAGGATAACATGCTGTGGTTGACCCAGTTTTATTTTAAATGTCATATGAGTTAGATGCCCTGCAGGGCCGGTCCTAGGGGGAGGGCAGCAGGGGCGACCGCCCTAGGCCTGAAAAAAATAGAAAGAAAATTAGGCCCAATATTTTTCTTTATATGTAATCTGAATAGGTTTCTTATTTTATTCATAATTTCAATAAAATAATTATGTCTAATGATTAATTTTTGTTGAGAATTGGAGAATTTTAAAACATAAGAAAAAGTTTTTAACGGAGCTAGACAAGTTTTAAAAAAGAATATAAATTTAATTTTGATTTTTAAATAGAGTTGGGATGTTTTTACTTGGACTGTAATTTGCCCCAGACCAGACCAGACCAGTCCAGACCAGACCAGACCAGACCAGACCAGACCAGTTCAGACCAGACCAGACCAGACTTGGATAGTTATAAAAATACAAAGAAACCAGACCTTACCAGACCAGACCAGACCAGTTCAGACCAGACCAGACCAGATCAGACCAGACCAGACCAGCAAATTACAGTCCAAGTAAAAACATCCTTGGTTGTAAGTCAACACATTTATTGTTGAATCAATAAATTCACGTCTCTTCACATCTTTTAAGCATTTAAGATTAATTACAAAATGACCAATTTATATTATTATCTTTGGGCTGTCAGTGTCTCCCAATTCTTAAACATCATCACAATTATATATTATGTCATGTCTCAAAAAACTTAATGGATTAGCAATTTTAAACATTGCACATGTGATATTGGAAAAATGGATTATAAATCAATTATTGATTATTTTACATCACAATGTTCTTTAATTTTGTGATACGTGTGTTGTTAGTTTTGTCCTAATATGCAATTCAAATAATATGAAGGTGAATTTCATCTTTATTTTATAACCTTTATTAGATAGTTGTAGGGAGAATTCCTGAAATATAAGTAAATTTTTTTTAAAATTTCAAAATAGGACTGTCATGTATTTATTTTCTGAATAGGAGTAATTACTGTTACGTTCGGAAAATACTACATGTGTAAAATATGACAGTCAAAATATGACAGTTGTTGGGATATATTATCCCGGCCTATTACTGTTCAGGAGCCCAAGACATTATCCAGTACGGAGCCCGAGCAGCTAGGTCCATTTCGGCCCATTCTGGCCCACTTTGGCCATTAGGCCCGACATCGGCCCGTTTGGCCCATTAGAGTGGAGTACTTCCCTCACCCCTTCCCTATTTATAGGAGGTTTTCCCTCCATGTAAAGGATCCCTCTTTTTAGCTTCTTCTTCCTCCTTCTTTTAGACTTAGCTCAACACTCCATTAATGGAAGGTTGTATAATGTAATGGTGAGGAGAGCCTAATGAGAATTGAGAGGGCTTGGACATTAGCATAAAAAGTCCCGTGGTTTTCTCCCTTTCAGGTTTCCACGTAAAAACTGAGTGTTTATACATATATTTACTATATCCTGTTGGATTAAACTCAACACCGGCGCCGTCTGTGGGAATCTGTCAAAAAAGATTCATGTATTCTACTGTTCTTGAGTTTCTACGGGAAAAATTGATACGAAAAGCTACTGATTTCAACAAAAAAAAACAAAGAATAAAGATTCTGGAAAGCAAGCAGGAGGAAGAAGGTTCGACATGACCAAAGAAATCTTTTCTTGGGAAATGGAGGAAGCTACGAAATCTGGAAGTCAAAATCTGAATTTTCCAGATCTGTTTTGAGGTCGCCGGAGCCGCTGTCACCGTCGACGCCGGCGTGGAACCTCCGTGATGTTAGCCTGCACCAGACGAGCTCGCTGCAGCGCTCCAGACCTCGTGACACCTGCAACACAGTTGCTCGTCGCTCACGACTGTTTCCACCGTCTCAGTCGCCGCACTGCCGCTCGACGCCAGCGGTCAACCACTGATTACTCCTTCACCTGGTTAGTCATGGTTCGAGCCTTCACCGGCCATCCCGTTCTGCCGACGCGACTTGAGGACCTACCAACTGGGAGTCCCTTGATTTCCGCCATTAATGGTGATGTGGGGAGGATATGCTACGATTCTAGGAAGTCCGGCCCATGTTCCGACGGAGACCACCCTTCCGGCTGTCTTTGCTCTGCTGCAACCGCCATGTCCACCGTCGGGGAGCAATAGCACGTACGGCTGGCCTTTGTGCTGGTCAATGGCATATTTCATTTGGTAGCAAATTGGCCACGACGATCCGTTAAGATGAGGACAGCAGACATAGTCTCAAATGGATAAATGATGAATCCTTCCATTATTTTGAGTGGTCAACGATCCGGACTCCAAAAGCTAAGTATCGTAACTACCACACTTACGTATTAAGATTTACTTCTCCATATCAAAATATTAGTATTGTAGTTTTATCACCATTATTTAATAGGGAGTAAGGGTTCCCAAAATTAAATAGTGAGAGCGATGCTCTAGTGATAATTATTTTCACCGTCGTTTTAATTAATGATGGGTTATTGTGGGCCCGTTGGCCCGCTCCCGATCGGCTTTCATTAGCGAACGCAGCGTATCTGAATGACTTATGGTAGGATAATACTATTATTACTACCCGTACATCACTATTATTTATTAGGGATAAAAATGTCCCAAGATTAAATAATGCAGAGCGAAGCTCTAGTGATAATTAGTTCAACCAACTTTTTTATTAAATATTTAATTGTTGGGGGGGTCGATTAGCCCACTCTCGATCGGCTTTGATTAGCGATCTGAGCGTCTCCAGAGGGTAGTGTCCCGATGACGCGTTTTAATTTGGGGGTTACGCAATAGTCCGCACAGCACTACGTGCCCGATCGACGATCGTACCCTAGTACCACCTGCGCCACTAGGCGAAGTGACTGTGCCAAACGCGGTCTGTGGGGCCCGAGGGCACCGAAGCGCTCAACCTCGTTTTCCAAGGGCAGTGCGACCAACTTGGGTCTGAGTTTGAAAACTCACAGACCGATGAATATCTCTATGAGACGCTCGGCGGGCTGCTAATTGGCCCCGCCGCGAGCTGCGACGTCCTTTAACCCCACACGATGAGCCGGGCCGAGGGTCACGATGACCCATAGGCCGGTAATCGTGGATGTTAAAGAGAAAGCCATGCAGATGGTCATGCGTGCATATTTATTGTCGGGCCGTGCGGCCCGTTACCATGCTTATTGCGCAGCTGAAGCCACTCAACGCGCTTGAGCGAAATGATTAGAAGACGCTCGGCCCGAGTCTTGAAGACGTTCAGGTCCAGCTAAAGAGGAGACCATCACGGCTGAGGACCGTGAGACAAGCATCTCCACCCCAGAGACCGATAGCCTAGGAGAGAACACCTAGAGGCCGAGGGTCTAGAGTGGACTACCACGGCGGAGGACCGTGAGACGATCATCCATCATTCAGAGGCCGAGGGCCTAGAGGAGACCATCACGGCCGAGGGTCGTGAGACCATCCTGATTTTCAGGTCGGCCTCTCATTGCCGACACCATTATGTCACGACCGGCCTCCCGGCTCGGCGTGCTTTCCATATTTGAAGACCGGTTTCATCCCTGCTCCTCGCGGATGACAGCCGTTGCTTGTTTTCTCAGATCGGCCTCTCATTGTCGATGTTATTATATCACGACCGGCCTCCCGACACGGCGTGTTTATCTTTTGAAGACCGGCCTTGTCCCCGCCCCTCGCGGATGAAGACCATTGCTTGATTCTTTCAGGTCGGCCTCTTACTGCCGACACTATCATGTTATGTTCAGCCTCTCGGCATGACATATTTATCTTTTGAAGACCGGTTTCATCCCCGCGCTGCGTTGGATGAGAGCCGTTGCTCGGATATATCGGCCTGACCGGACACTAATGCCATCTCCATTATCAGGACCGACTGCTCAGCGATATTATGATCATTGTATATCGGCTCCCAATGCCAACCTTCTTGAGTTACCGATCGGGCTCACCCCTCCCTTCAGGAGGGTGACCATGTAACACCCCGGCCCCACCGGACCCGAGGTAGTTACTCCGGATAATATTGCAATTCATCATTCGGTTATTTCAAGTATAATTCCATAATTCGAATATATCGACTAAAGTAGTTCGGTCACTTTATAATATAATTATTCAGATGTCGTTGAATTACAACTGGTAAGTGAAGAGTAAAACGAATATTTTAGAATATCTATGATTCGGCCAATTTAATTAAATTTAGAGACGTAATAGTTCGAATGAAATAAATCTGAATTTAAGTACCCAACTACTATTTTCACTAAGATTAATTTAGCCTCTGTACCGCTATTGGAACTTTCATATGAGTAAATAAAGTCGAATTGAGAATTTGTAAAAGTGGTAAAATGCATGGCCGATTAAATTAAAATATGATTTCGATTACTTTATGTTGAAACTGGATTGATTGAACTATTATAATAAGATGGACCGAGTAAAAGATCTAAGATGGACTACTAATGATACGATTAAACATAAGGAATGAAATATATTATTAATATTCAAAAAAAAAGAAGGGAATATTTAGGTAAAGAGTTGGGAAGTTATTAATTTGGATTTTCAATAATAGAGGTCGAGTTGAGTGAAGAACAAGAGTGAAGAATTAAGTAGAATACTTGAAGTTTGAGGTAAGTTTCTCTGCCGATCCAAAATTGTTTCCTCGTATTATATGCTATTATGTGATTAATGTGTGAATTTTGAGTTGGATTATTTGAAGTGACATTAAATTTATGGTATTTGAGAAAGTTGAGTTATGGGGTACTAGATATTTTTTTAAATACTATTGAGAATATTTTGGAGACTTGAGTGTTTTTAAGATGAAAATTAATATTTTCATAAAGGATGAGCACCCGGGAGAAATCCGTGGTGTCGGTTGTTCCACATCCGGATAAATGTGGAAGGTGTTTAGGATTACTACTACTTGGAGTACAGTTTTAGTAGGTCGGTAGCCAACCCGACATTCGGATCATTGATCCCAGGCATAGTAGTAGTAATTCCTAATCACTTGATTTTATAGAGGAGGAGTAGTTGGTAGACTGAGTCCCGACTACTCGAGATGACTTACTACTCGGAGGGCTTGGAATCCCTTTTAGGGGGTGTGCACACTTAAGGTAGTCGTTTCGATTCCAATAGTAGTAGTGGTGGGAACCGGTTTCCGGGATGAGCTCGTAATTAACAACGACTCATTGGGCTTCGGGCATAAGTATCCGAAAGTACCGCTCATCTTAAAAGAAAGTAGGAGATGTAATGATATTGGTTTTGAAAATAGACAATGGAGAGTATTTTCAAAGAGAAATTGAGTGTATTAGCTATAAATCATATTTTGAAAAGTGATACGTGTGAGTTATATTTATAAGTACTATTTGTGACAAATTACATTATTTTACGGGGTTGGGTAGTACTTACTTAGCTTTCGCTAATTTTTATTCTTTATGTGTTTTGTCCCGTTCCCCATATGCGAACAGGTGATGATGCTAATGTTGATTGATGACTGCTTGAGCCTGAGAGCGTTCTAGAAGATACCTTAGTTAAACCTAGTCTGGAATAAACATTTTATTTATGTTATGAACTCATAGATTAACTATTACTATTTTTTTTGGCCTGTGCATCCGACTATGTTTGGTCGGATGTGGCGGTAACACCTTCTTATTTCAAGATTTCCGCTGTATTTCGTCAATTATATTATGAATGAATAAAGATTTTATTTCAAACATATCAATGTTTTGGGTGGGAAGTTTGGGGGTGTTACAAATTGGTATCAGAGCAAACCCGCGACAGTGTGATGACCCGTTGGATATCGAGCGGGCACTTAGCGGGGGAAGATTCTGGGATTTGATTGAGATTTGAGATTGGTTCAAGGGCGCAACGAGGACGTTGCGATCCTAAGTGGGGGTGATTGTAACACTTGAGATTTAATATAAACGGATTAATAGTACTACTCATACCAACAGAGGTGCATCTCCTTTTACGGGAGCTCATCCGCTAAGAACTCCAAAGTTAAGCGTGCTTGCACGAGAGTAGTCTTGGGATGGGTGACCCCCTGGGAAGTTTCTCAGGGCGCGCATGAGTGAGGACAAAGTGCGCGGTAAAGGCTTGTGGTGGTTTGTGGGGACAGTACTATTGGTCCGGAGTAACTACCTCGGGTCCGGTGGGGCCGGGGTGTTACAGACCATCGCCTTCGCATGACGACCAGCATTTCCATCGCCTCGTCATTCTATTCATTTTGATATCCCACCACCATTATGTGTGACATCACTTGCGGTCATTCTTAGAACCGACGAACGTATTTTCCTCCCTCAAAAAAAAAAACAAATAAAAAAAATGATGGGGAGAAGGGGAGACGAGATCCTATGAGAGAGGGAGTCTTGACGAGGTATGCCAGATCTTCCTTCGCCACGTATGACGAACGTCTCCCGACGCGGAGGCCAGTAGGAACGTGGGGGGGGGGGGGGGCTAGACGAACCAAAGGGAACCTCGGCAAGATAAACCAGTTCCTCCCATGACCCGTGGATCGACGAACACCTTCTGCTGAAGCAGGGGGCTAGTAGGGCCACGAGCGTGGGGCGACGAAGCAGGGAACCCGCGATAGGGTAAACCAGTTCCTCCTTGCGATCGGTGAATGACCGAACGTCTTCTTCGAGGGAAGAAGGTTAGTAGGATCACGACAGGGACGAACAAAGAAACGGGAACCCGGACAGGGTGTACCGGTTCCTCCCCCCTTATGGACGGATGACGAACGTCTTCTGCGAAGCCAGAAGACTAGTAACTCACGACTGGGGACGAACAGAGATAGGGAATCCCGACGTGGATAAACCTGTTTCTTCTCATAGTTCGGATGACGAACGTCTCCTGCGAAATCAGGAGACCAGTAACTCACGAGACTTAGGAAGAACGAAGAACCAGTTCTTTACCGGAGTCTGTTGCGTGCCAAGTGTACACCGCTTAGCGGTCCATACATAGGACCACGGATACGGTAGACGAACGAAGACCAGCTCCATGGATCAGACGCGAAGAACCAGTTCTTTACCGGAGTCTGTTGCGTGCCGAGTGTACACCGCTTAGCGGTCCATACATAGGACCACAGATATGGTAGACGAACGAAGAACAGCTCCATGGATCAGACACGAAGGACCAGTTCTTTACCGGAGTCTGTTGTGTGCCGAGTGTACACCGCTTAGCGGTCCATACATAGGACCACGGATACGGTAGACGAACGAAGACCAGCTCCATGGATCAGACACGATGGACCAGTTCGTTACCGGAGTCTGTGTGTGCCGAGTGTACACCACTTAGCGGTCCGTACATAGGACCACGGATACGGTAGACGAACAAAGACTAGCTCCTCAGATCAGATAGGAGGGCCATCACCCAGATTTATTGCAGGCTCACCATTCCTTCCCGAATGGAGTCCTGGCAGACGATCGGCTTCTCACAGCCAATCAGGAGAGAGACTTGACCCCTCAGCGCCATCGTGTCCAGCTCACGGTTCGGCTCGCCCATTCCCTCCAGGGTGGCGACGAACGTCTTATGCATCACGATCGGCCCATCAGCGCCATCGTGTCCAGACTCACGGTTCGGCTCGCATATTCCCTTCCAGGATGGCGACGACCGTCTTATGCAGTACGATCGGCCCCCCAGCGCCATCGTACCCAGCTCGACGTTTAGCTCGTCCATCCCTCCAGGATGGCGACGACCGTCTTATGCAGTATGATCGGCCCCTCAGCGCCATCATACCCAGTTCACGGTTCGGCTCGCCCATTCCCTTCCAGGGTGGCGACGAACATCTTGTGCATCACGATCGGCCCCTCAGCGCCATCGTGTCCAGACTCACGGTTCGGCTCGCCCATCCCTTCCAGGGTGACGACGAACGTCTTATGCATCACGATCGGCCCCTCAGCGCCATCGTGTCCAGACTCACGGTTCGGCTCGCATATTCCCTTCCAGGATGGCGACGACTGTCTTATGCAGTACGATCGGCCCCTCAGCGCCATCGTACCCAGCTCGGCGTTTAGCTCGTCCATCCCTCCAGGATGGTGACGACCGTCTTATGCAGTATGATTGGCCCCTCAGCGCCATCGTACCCAGCTCACGTTCAGCTCGTCCATCCCTTCCAGGGTGGCGACGAACGTCTTATGCATCACGATCGGCCCCTCAGCACCATCGTGTCCAGATTCACGGTTCGGCTCGCCCATTCCCTCCAGGCTGGCGACGACCGTCTTATGCAGTACGATCGGCCCCTCAGCGCCATCGTACCCAGCTCACGTTCAGCTCGTCCATCCCTTCTAGGGTGGCGACGAACGTCTTATGCATCACGATCGGCCCCTCAGCGCCATCGTGTCCAGATTCACGGTTCGGCTCGCCCATTCCCTCCAGGATGGCGACGACCGTCTTATGCAGTACGATCGGCCCCTAAGCGCCATCGTACCCAGCTCACGTTCAGCTCGCCCATCCCTTCTAGGGTGGCGACGAACATCTCTTATGCAGCACAATCGGCCCCTCCGTGCCATTGTGTCAAGTTCATCTCCGGATCGCCCATTCCTTCTAGGATGGTGATGACCGTCTTATGCAGCACGTCTGCCTCCCGACGCTGACATGCCCGGTTTATCCATGAGAGCCACCGCTTTCTATCACATCTCACATTCCTTCTCTCATACATTGCACCCATACATTACATGCATTCATGCATTCATGCATCATACCTCATACATTCATACATACACACGTGCATCATGTTTTGACAGTACCGCGACGTCGGTTTATAGATGCATGGACCTCTAAGCTTCTCCGATTGGAAAGCTCGAGTCAGAGTCCTTTACTCCCGCTTGATGCATTCAGGGGGAGTGTGCCCGTGGAGGAGCACCCTTCGCCCGACCCCGTCGGGAAGGGGGGTGCTTCACCGGCAGATTACGTTCAAGAGTGCAGACACCCACTCATATATTATGATTATTCGAAGACACAGTTTCTAGCAAAACAGAGGAAGAGCGCAGGCAAGAGTATATTTTCTCGAGCAGATTCGCGCACTCACTACTCAAGAAACTGGGGGACTTGTGTTGGGATATATTATCCCGGCCTATTACTGTTTAGGAGCCCAAGACATTATCCAGTACGGAGCCCGAGCAGCTAGGTCCATTTCGGCCCATTCTGGCCCACTTTGGCCATTAGGCCCGACATCGGCCCGTTTGGCCCATTAGGGTGGAGTACTTCCCTCACCCCTTCCCTATTTATAGGAGGTTTTCCCTCCATGTAAGGGATCCCTCTTTTTAGCTTCTTCTTCCTCCTTCTTTTAGACTTAGCTCAATACTCCATTAATGGAAGCTTGTATAATGTAATGGTGAGGAGAGCCTAATGAGAATTGAGAGGGCTTGGGCATTAGCCTAAAAAGTCCCGTGGTTTTCTCCCTTTCGGGTTTCCACGTAAAAACTGAGTGTTTATACATATATTTACTATATCGTGTTGGATTAAACTCAACAACAGTAATTACTTCTATTTAGAGAATAAAAACATGATAATCATCATTTGGAATGTACAAACGTTTTTAGTCGTATTTAGAGTTTCTCCTAGTTTTATTAAACTCCGTAATTTTTACTTTAAGTAAGTACGTAGTATAATTTATTGTTTATCTTGAAAATAAGGCCAAAATAGTACATCGCCCATAGGCCCAAAATTGGACAGGACCGGCCCTGATGCCCCGAATTCCTGTTGGTATTTATATCATCAGATTCTGTTAGATCTCGACAAGACCCTAGAAAATCCTTGGATAGCTTCTTCAATTTCGCGATAAAGAGAAGGAAATTTGAAATTGAAACTAATGTGACAAGCCAAGGCCCTGAACACACAACCAAAAAAGTAAAAAATAAAATAATTTTGATATTCGGTCTAATATACTTAATTAAAGTTTCTTAGAGACGTTTTTTCCATAAATGTACTTCATTTATTATTTTGCCCCAATAATTTTTATTGCTGGATCCGCCACTGATCTTTATAGGCTTCAATAAATCCTTTTTAAAAACAACACATATTTAATCTCTTTTAAGAACTTTGTTCATGTTTTACTCCTATTTTACCCAATTTTCTTTAAATGAATTCATCTAGCATGTATGAATCTATGGTAGCAAAAGTGGACCACACAATAGTCACCTCTTATGTAAATGATGAACTTCGTATAATTCATAATTATATTAGAGGAATGCATTGAAAAAGGCACAATTGTTCAATTCTCCCCCTCAGCCGTTAAAAGTATCAAAAGTACGAAAAACAGAACATAAAAAATAAAAATACCAATATAAAATAAAAATTGAAAATATAATATAAACTTGAGTATTATGTACTAGGCACACGCGCGCGCGCGCACGCACATACTGACACACGCGCGCGCGCGCGCGCACGCACGCACACATGCGCCACACACAAACCCGCACACGCACACGCGCACACACACACGCACACGCACACACAGACACAGGCACAATGACCTGTCTACTCGAAATATGTAACACTACAAGCAATATACGAGATAACAAGTGGCCATAAAAAACCTTATTAATATTTAAAAATCCTTCTCGAATGATCTTTCACTCGTAAATATTCATCGTCGTGGGCCCGCCTATGCGCCTTAAAAATACTGTTGCTTTATGAATCACAACCTATATATGGAGTATATAATAACAGAGGTAAATAAAATCAGGATGTTTTTACCATTGATTTAGGACATGCCAAGATGTAAATATCTAAGCAAGGTTTGAGCAAGAAGAACTGAAGAACAACTCTTGTCATCAACAGCTGAATAAATGGGTCAAAGCAGGCACCTCATGTCAAACTAAGACCCCATTTGGCAGCCATTTCGAGCTTATACTGTATCAACTCATAATAAGGGCTTGTTCGTTAAGGGTTGTTCAGATGGATTTTCATCAAGTAAAAGCATTTAGTAGAATTAACTTCATCCAAACAAAACAAAGTAAAAGTCTACTCCCTCCGTCCCACAATGTTTGGGACAAAGGAGTGTGGCACAAATTTTAAGAAAAAGTGGAATTGTGTGGTTGGTGTTGAGTTGATAAAGTGTGAATAAAGTAAGAATGAATTGTAACCACCCAAATATTGCCAAATATGGTATGGGACAAACTTAATGGGACGGACGAAAAAGGTAAAATGGGACAAAGTTAGGGGGACGGAGGGAGTACTTGTTATGACTAATGTGTAGTGACTAACTTGTGATTATATGAGCAAACATTTAATGTCCCATTTAGGAAGGTATTGCGAGTGGTGAACAATAGGTAGGTCTGAAAATGCATATAAATTGCCCATTTCTTTGAAAGTTAGAAGGCTGAAATTTGAAAAAGTACTTGTAGTTACAAACCAGCATACACTCTTGTTTACTTACAAATAGGCATGGACCCGGTTCAGGCCACCCGGCCCGCTACTATGCGGGCCCGGCCCGCTACTGTGCGGGACCGGCCCGGTCCGGCGCTTCGGGTCTGAACCCGGTCCTTGACCCGGTTTGAAGGAATAAGCGGGGGCGGACTCGGGCTGCATAAATGGGGACCCGGCCCAGCCCGGCCCGGCCGGGCCTGGGCCCAGCTCGGGTAAAAACTGTTTTTTTCCCCAGTTTTTTTGGGCTTCCCTGGGTTGGGCTTGATGTTTTGGGGGACTTTGACGGGTTTGGGGGGTGGGGGTAGGGAGGGTCAAGGGGTAGTTAGGAAAGCAAAAAAGAAAATTACAACCCACCTCGAGGCCCGGCCCGAACCCGGTGGCAATCTGGGCCGGTCCCGGGCTTTCCCCCAACCACAAAAGGCCCGACCGGGCCTAGGCCCGGCCCGGCTCCATGCCTGCTTACAAAGCTCAAACTTGTGGTAATTCTTGCTTCTATCATTATGTTCTCCTCTTCTGAAAAGGGAATTATTTTTGTACTCCGTATTACTTAAATTTACGGGAATCTAATTCAAACATGAATTATGAAAACCATTTACTTTTTCATTTAACATATTTTCCGTATAAATTATACTCTGTGTGTCTATCTGGTCTTGCATTTCTTTTTTATTTAAATTGTTCATTTTACAAACTTATTATCCTCCACTCACTACGTGATTAAATAAAGTTGGTCCAATTGAAGGACGGTAAGGTAAATCAAAGCACTTCACTTATCTTCACCACAACTGCTTTGCATTAAACAGAATAAAAGATGTCTCATATATTTTGGTATGGATGGATTAGTTGGTAAAACTAATCAAGTAATAAAATTCAAATGGGCAACTAATAACAAATGATTATGGCAGTGGAATCATTTTCATGTTCATGATTTTTACATTTTTAAAAACCAGAAACAAGAGTAAGCTTAGTCTATTCACCAACAGCAAAAGCAATTGGATCTTCAGCAACTACATTCTCCATAGCTATACCCTAGTACTCAACATTATCCTCATCAATGGCACTTGCAAAAGAATTGAAACCAAGCAAAATCCTTTATACAAAGAGAAAATGCAAATCCATTGGAATTGTGTGATTTACCCATCTCTTCTAAATCTCCAAATCGTGGAAGGAATAAATTATCTTTTCCCAAAACAGAAAAATCATTAGGAAACAAACAAGATTCCGTGTCGATACAATCCCAGAACCAAAGAATTAAAAATGGCCCAAACAGACACAATCCACCAAGCCATGAACAAAACCAATTCTTTATCCAGCCATGCGCAAGGCAAGAAGCTACAACCATCACGACCAATTACAGACAAGCCATTGAAGAGAAGAACCATAGCTGCAGGAACAAAATACTGCAAAGCCACAAGACATAGATAATGGTTGTGAAGGAAAACCTTTGCCCTACTATACTCCAGCTCGGGCACTTTGCTACAATGCAATCTTTGGTACCAACATAACACTGCTTCATTCAAATACATTTGCACGTTTGACCGAAGAGTCAAAATCTGAAGAATGCCCGAAGCTAATAAACACCAATGTCTAAATCTCTCAAAGTCTGATCTACACATTCCCACAAAATTCTTGTCCACGAGTATTTCAGAGAAAGGAGTAATCCAAAGCAATGAAGTAAAAACATTGAAGAAATAGTTAATGTAAAGAAGCATTCTTGGAAACCATCCACAAGAGATTATTGACAAATTAGAACGAATCTGATCCGTTCCAAGCCAAAATGACCGGGCTGCCCTCAATGCTGGTGTACAAAGGAGGCCGGCAATGCAGCCCATGAAAACAGAAGTTATCAACTTCCCAAAACCATCCAATGATCCGCAACTAAAATCAAGAATCCATTTTGGGACAACCCCAGATACTACGATTAGTCCCAAGACAAACCCTAAAACCCCAACCAAAAAAGTCAATTTCTTCTCTATACTCTTGGAAGCCGACCTCTCAAAAGCAGTCCTAGCTAATGAGGTAGACATCCTACATAATGCAAAACATCCTAATAAGATAGGAACAATAGATCCGTTCCCGAACAACCCGGCATCTTCGGATTTCCCCAAGAACAGGTCAAGCAAGAAGCAAGAAAGAGCTAAGACAGTGGAATTGAAAGCACTTTTGAACTCACTGAAATAAATTCTCGTTTGGAGGTGAGAGCCGATGAGCTTTAGCCTAAAGATCTGAGCTTTAGTTTCATCGAATTCAAATTTTTCCTTGGAGGGTTTTTTTCTAGGTCTGAGTTCAGAATCAACACTACCTGGGCGTCGAATCGCAGCCCTGACACCATTTGATGAAGGGGCGGGGTTGACATCGTCTGGGTGGACATAGGTGAAGAGGCCATGGAGAAACAAATCCGAGATATTGAAGAAGTAGAGGAGGAAAGTGAGTGAAAGAGCGAGCGCCGCTTGGAGAATGGAGTTTCTGTATGAGAATGCAAGTGCAGGTAAAGAAGAGAGCATTATTTTATCAGATTCAGCGAAGGACTTTGCTGTTGAGGATGGTTTTGCAGCGAAGGGACGAAATAGGGGAGAGGAGACCCAAGATTCATCTTCATGAATCATGATCATTTTCTAATGATTTTAATCAAATGGTTCAAAACTTCAAATTGGACGTAGAGAAGATGGGCCTCGCAATTTTCTGTTCGGCAGTCATATAAGGGGTGAAACCCAGTTGAATCGAATCCTATCCTTACAAGCAGTGGCCCAACCCAATAGGGGGATCCCGGCGTCCCAGCCTTGGTTAAGTAGACAAGGAGGGCGTCTGGCTATTTTTAATCCTTAGATCAAAAAATGAATGGTAGAAGATTAAATGCCTCATTTTTACACAAATCTTGGGCTTGACTTTTACTCTTGTTATTTCATTTGGGTAAGGCACTGTGCCTTATGGCAGAGGATTTCGATCCCCCAATAGGGTCTTTTCAAATGGTTGCAAAACGTTTTTGAGAGAGGGTGAAAGTTTTAATTTCTGAAGAGTTTTCTGAACTTTTTATATTTGTTTGGTTACAGACTAGAGTGAAGTGCGAATAAAAGCAACAAAGTGAAAGATAGAGGAAATACTATTTTCAACATGTCATGTACATAGTGGCGAACTCAGGAATTCCCAACTAAATGGACGGTAGTGTAAGATTTTACATATTAATACATACTCCCTCCGTATCAAATTAATTGATTCGTTTGCTTTTCACGCAGTTTAAGACAATTACTGTAGACTTTATTAAAAGTAAGAGCTTTTTGGTACTGTACCGACACTGTAGCGGTACTGTAGCAGTACTGTAGCTGCTTTTTGAGTGGGATTCTTTCCATAAAGGGAAAGGGGTCAATTAAATTGATGCACCAAAAAAGGAAAGTGGGTCAAGTAATTTGATACGGAGGGAGTACAAAGTAAATATTACAATTTTGAAATAATTATATCTAATTAAAAAGGAGAGGCTCTTGCCCCCCCTCCCCCCATCTGCTACTAATTATGTTCACTTTGATAGAAGTAGTTAAACAAAAAAAGCTTTTAAAAACATACAAGTAGTTTCTTCTTTTATGTTTTTTGGGTATTTAGTTCTTTGACCAAACATGACTCTATTTTTATGAACAGAGCCAACTTACTTTGTTAATAGGGCATTTTTTCCCAAGTTGCAATTCCGTCCAGAGTTGGAAATAAGCAGCTATTGTTGGAGAAGCACTTTAAAGAGTTCAAACAAAGATGTGTTTTGAGAGTTGTGTTGATAAGAACAGAAAAATAAAATCAACGGGGTAACCCGTTGCCCAAAATAATCAACGGCTGGATCCGTTGCCCAGAGCTAAATAGCTAAAACCAATATTATTAATGCCTCATTTGAATAAGTCTAGGCAGGGGTTTATATAACCCTTACATCCAAAACTGCATAGGAAACTAAATCCTAATAAGAAACATAATAGGAGTCCTAATTACACCATTCAAGGAAACTAAATAGAAATAGGAAACCTCTAATTAATAGAAGTCCTAATTAAATCATACTAGGAAATAAAATAAATTAGGAAACAAAATAAACGGAATAATTAAAATTAATTAAATTGCCCGCAGCCAGCCCACGAAGGTGGGCTCAAGCCCGTCCCGCCCCATGCTCTTCCCGCTTCATATCATGTGTACATTTGCGAACCTCTAAAAGAGTAAAAAATGCACAAAAATGATACTAATGAAATAAAAAAGATTCTGCTAAACTCTCAAAAGTTGTGTTTTGGCTGTCATATAGGGTAAAAAGAAACACACTGTAACTAAATGCGCAAAAATGATACTATTAAGTATTAACCATCTGATCAAATGGGCACAATGATGTCTACTGGAAATGTGTAACACACTAACACTACATGGCAATATATGAGACAAATCAGACAATAAGTAGCCATCAAAACAAAAAGCCTTATTAAAATTTAAAAATGATCCGCATGACCGCATTGTAGAAATACAATCAGATTATAACCTAAAAAACATTTCAGAAGTCTATTTACACTTTCACAAGTTCACAACTGCGCCTGGAGAAACACACAAAGGCAAAGTGTCCAAACCATTGTCATGGCACTAAATGATGATGAAAATAGCTCTGTAAAAGCAGAGGATTATTTTGGAATCAGCTTCTAAGCTCCATCAGTTGGTGAAGAAGACTGTTTAGACTCATGGCCTTCCCCAACGTCCACATCCTTATTATTAGCTGTCACAATTAAAGATGACGATGAAGACTCACAACCTCCATCTCTCTTCTTCTCAGCACTGCTCTCTTCATCGGATTCCTCTTCAATGGTAAAAGATCCTTCTCGAATGAGTTCTTTCACCCGCAAAAATTCATCGTAGTGGGCCCGCCTATGCGCCTTAAAGCTACTTTCTGAATCATGACATACATATGGATTATGGAATATATAATAACAGAGGTAAATAAAATCAGGATGCTTTTCCCATTGATATATGACATGCCAAGATGTAACTATTTAAGAAAGGTTTGAGCAAGAAGAAAATGGATTGTTGTCAACTGCTGAATATGTGGGTCAAAGCAGGCACATCATGTCAAAGTCAAACAAAGACCTCATTTGGCAGCCATTTCCAGCTTATACTGTGTATCAACACATTAAGAATAATAAGGGCTTGTTCGTTAAGGGCTATTCAGATGAATTTTCATCAAGTAAAAGCATGTAGTAGAATCAACTTCATCCAGCAAAACAAAGTAAACATCTACTCATTATGATTAGTAATTTGTTAAGTGCGTGAGTTAGAGACCTCGTCCAAGGACGTGAACGGGATTGACCACCCGTAAAAGACGATGTTCCTGCAGCTATTTTTAATTGATGAGGAATAGAGCAACTGAAATAGATGAACTGAAAATAGAGGCTTAATAGATAATTATCTATCTCCGACCTAGTCAAGAGATCTCAAGATTTAATTAACCAAAAAGCTGTTTATTCAAGTAGCTGGGATCCCCTTAAATAGATAAAGGGTTTCCTAAAACAAATAGGAAACTAAGTTGGTAAAGGGTTTCCTAAAATAAACTAGGAAACTAAGTTGTTATTCTAATACAACTTAAATGAAGGAATACTAATTAAAGTAGGACTAATTAAATACTAATATTAATATGACTCTAACTGCCTTCTTATTTCTTTTCTCTTAGCCACGTTGGTCATTAATCTTTTCTGCCCCACACTGCTTTCTTCATTCATATGTTCGGCCATAGAATTGGTCTGTAACATAATTATTCTGTTTCTAAGCAACATAATCCAATTAATGCTACTAAACTGGGACCGATCTTTCCACCTGCCGTATTCGGCTAGAATGGATGTTAACCGACTTTTTTCACTTCAGCCAAATAAACCTTACCAACAGGTCCCTATAACCTTTTCAAAGTCATAGTGGACGTGATCTTTTCCCCACGACCCCACCACAATTTAGCAATGGACAACCACTGCCTGCCTTGGAGAGAATCCAGATCTTAAATAGAAATATAAGGGATCCAATAATCGTTAACGGGGTGTTTGGAAGTGATTCTGCTTCTACTTCTTTTTTAAAATCAAAAGTAGATTCAGATTAAGTTTTTTAGAAGCTGGTCTCCCCAAACTTCTAAAAAGCTGCTCTTCTAATAGCAATTTGGAACACTTGGAAGTACTTGCACTTTCACCCAAATTCTAATATCTGCTTCAGCGCGCAGAAGCACTTTTAAGAAGTAGATCCAAACACCCCCAATAGACGAATACTACTTGAAAATTTTAAGATAGTGAGTAAGATTACCTTCACCGTCATCTTCTTCATCCATGTAATCAGCCTCATCCTCGGATAGTGGCCAACCAGTGGGGCGTAATTTATCTTTGCCACAAGACGCAACATCATTCAATGCATTCTCTACCGCTTCAGCACGGACTCCATTATCACTTCCATCATCAAAGCTATTCCGCACAGGTGACAAAGATCCTATGCCAATCACTGGATCAGTACTTACTACTTATTATAGCCTATAGGAAGAGATACAGATATAAAGAAACTGAAGCAGTCCATCAGTGAACTGATCTTTATCAGTAGCATTACTGAATGGATTGTTCTGTAAAACATTGTTTGATTGGGGGATCTTAAGAAAAGACAGGAAGAGGTGATACTTATTTTATAGTCTGTACGAATTATTACTATGTTACTCAACTACACAAATACTGACTCTGTCCCAAACAAAATCTCTGTTTAGAAGAAAATTTATCCTAAATAATTTTCAGTTTAGAATTGGAACACGACACACTTTTTTACAAATTTTACAAATTTTCCCATGCTAATGCTTCCTATATTAAATGATTTTATACCTTGTGAAGAAAGAAAATACATGTAATGTTATCTTCAATAAATATACAATGACCAGTTTAGTAAGGTAGGACTCATTTAGTATATGTGCAGTTGTGCACTTTAGATATGAAAATTATTTTGGGGCGAAGGGAGTAGGTTTTTTTTTGAAAGGGCAATGTGAGTAGTTATGCTCTAATGTAAGTATGTAACACTAGAAAACACATCCTTTCTCCTCCAAAATACGGATCAACATATAGAAAACACAATATTACAATCACAACCTTGTTTAGAGTAGAATATCTAATAACCGATGTGACAAAACCAGATGAGGTTAATCGGAAAATAAAAATGAAAAATGAAAAAAAGGCAGAATTATTACGTCATTATTGATGAGGTTAGTCAGAAAATACAAAAAAAAAAGAATAAACAAAAGCAACATGAGAACACAAAAATTATAGAACCTTTTAGTCCTTCACATAAGGGAAAACTTGATATAAACAGAAATACAGCATGCATTGTTGACATCTCATTTACATTAAACTTTCAAAAACAAATTCCTTGGTAAATGTAATAAGGAAGACTAATATTATTGGGTGATAAGAGTTTAAAAGAAGAGAAAATGATAATATACCATCATCATCAATCATTGGGTGATAAGGCGTCTTTGGCTCAGTTATTTTCTGCCTCACTGGTTTGTTTGCCTCAATTTCCCCTAGATTACTTTCATTCCATCTGACGCGACCTCTGGCACATCAAGAGCAGAAGCACTTTAAGCCAATCACATTATAATATTACCTTCTTTTAGCCTAAAGGAAATTCAAACTTTTAGCGCCTTAAGCGTTACACACTATGCAATGCGGCCCTTTTGTTTCAGTGTTCGTAAAGGAACTTTCCACATTGTTTTAAAGTGTAAACTCGATCTCTTGCTTCACTGGCTAGTTTAATATTGTTTCTTAGAGATAAGTGAAACAAAAATGCTGAATTCCAAATTCATCCCTTGAGGGTTCAAATATAAAAAATAAACTGTGTTAGGCAAGTACCACTTAGAAATTAATATTTGAATGAAAGACCATATTTTGAAGGAGAGAGGTTTACGACATTAGTATATTGAAATGGGTGGGAAGGTGATAAGCTAAAGAGATGTGCATGGTTTTACTCAACAAATACATAGTAGTAATTTTTTAAAGTGACACTAATAAATAGGGATGTACTATTAAAGCCAATAGTCTATATTAATCTTTATCTCCCGGAATACCTAGCAAGCTAGCATACTTCATGGGTTTATAAGTTGTCAAAAACCTCCTCATATCTTTTCAATTTCATATATTACTTCGTACTAGACTTGACAGTTGATTCTTGACAATCGTTATTAGAATTAATAAAGAATACCAAGCATGCATCATGTATACATTTAATCTTCACATACTTGAATACTCTAGATGCAAAACATTTCCCATAAATGAAACTCCCTCTGTCCCTAAATAAACTTCCCACTTTGCTTTCACCTTTCCCTATTTGGTTAACAAATTTATAGCAATTTATTCTACTATCCTTAAATATAACTGAAAATACAATGCAAAATAATGTTTAACAGTGTCAAACAATGTCAAAATAGTGTATTTTAAATTAAATTTACCCTTGGCATTTCAGGAAGTCAAAGGAAATAAATTATTTCCTTAATATGAGTGGAATTCAAATCCGGAGGGACAGAGGGAGTACTTGTATTCCATATATAAAAAAAACATCCGGAGAAATGTTACATATTACCATTTACTACGTACTTTCTAGCCTTCCATGGTTTCCCAATTCTAAACAAGCATTGCATAATAGGGAGTATAGAACAACATAAAGTGCAATAAAAGGAAGTCATTACCTCATTCTAGCAAATACGTAGTAGCTTTTAAGAGAATCTCCAAACCCCAAATTAACGTGCTCTTCTTCAGACAAGGAAAATGGGATTCTGAAATCCTGCACGTGGAACAAGAGGACCCTACTCCGACACGGCTGCGTTTGGAGGAGAATTTGTTTTCCGGCAGTGACTAGATGTTGGGTTTGATCCACAACAGGCGTCGTAAGGGCGACGGGGTTCTGGATTGAAAGATGTCGGCAGATATGAATTGGCGATGAATGGTCGTGATTGTAGCAATTTGGTGGTTTTTTCTGCAGAAGGAGAGAATGGTGGATGCGGACAAGAGGAATCTCCAAAAATGCTATCTCAGATCTCTGTTTTGGGCGGCTTCATTTCAGATCATTGAATCTTTCATAAGGTGGCTAGTAATAATTGACAATGTTAAAACTTAGAACATCTACCGGCTGGTCCCCAACAAATGTAAAATTTGGGCCTTTTTTGAAGTTGCAACACAAGCAAATTGTCTTAATATACAACTTACGAATAAATGTAATGATAACAATAGTCATTAATAACTTACAATTTATTTAAAAAGAGACATTTTTCAAGTATATTTACATTTACGCAGGGGAAATTTGGGCTGGGGCGTAATACTAAATTTTTTTTTGGGCCCTTCAAAAATCTGGGCCCTGTGCGGTCGCACTGGGCAGCCATGCCCTGGGCCGGCCTGCATCTACCCTTGAAAAGTCAAAATGGACGGAAGAAAATATGGGTAATTTGTGTTTGTACCAAATTGGACTTTGTACCACATTTTTAAAACTTTTTCCTTTTGCACCCCAAACTCATATGAAAAAATAAAAATGCCCTTCCATTAACAATTTTGTTAACTTTCAACATATTCTTGATTGAGATCATTTTTGTTTTTTCATATGAGATTGAGGTGTAAAAACAAAGACTTTTAAAAACGGGATGCAAAGTCCAATTTAGATAATAATAATAATAAGGGGTGCAAACTCAAATTACCCTAGAAAAATACCTCATCCGTTTCAGTTTGTTTGACACACTTTCCTTTTTTGGATGTTTCAAAATGAATGTCACACTTCCTTATTTCCTTATTTGGTAAACAAATCTATACCAAAATAGTGCAAAACAATGCCAAACAGTGTCAAACAGTGTTCTAACAGTGCCAAACAGTGTTCAAACAGTGTCAAAACAGTAAAATTTACCCCACTCAGTAAATTTTTCTCTTAAATGTTGACAAGTCCAACTGTGTCAAAGAAACTGAAACAGAGGGAGTATGATGTCCGGTGGAGTGCTAAGACCACTTTCATCCTATTCATAATAATCATAAACTAGTTGCTTTTTTTGAATCAACAAACTAGTTCTATTTTTGAAACAAGAGTACTTAAATTAAACTTTTAAAAGAACAACCATCCATCTATCCAAAGCTTCCCTCTCACACTAGTGGAAATACTTTCTCATTTCCTAATGGGATATAGCATATATTGTCCAATACTAACTTACTAAATAAGACTGATCGTTAAACATGTTAGAGATTCGAAACTGTTATCCGCTAGATTAGCCTGATTGTTTCCGCTCATTCTCACAACAAATAACACTCACAACTCACAATAACCAAATACTCCGTAGAAAGGTACTCCCTCCGTCCCATTTTACATGTCCTACTTTCTTTTTTGGGTTGTCCCAAAATAAGTGTCTCCTTTCCTTTTTTGGAAAGAAATATGTGGCTTACATCATTTCACTTTATTATACTCAAACATCAACCACAACTTTTACTTTTTCAACTACTTCATTAATAATCGTTTCAAGTCAAACCAAAACACATAAAATGGGACGGAGGTAGTATGAAATAGCAAAAAACAAAACATGAATGAAAAACAGAGCACATGAGTGCATATGACCAAATCCAACTGTGAATAATGGGTCTATAATTCTGTTATAATTAATGGGGTTAATCATTAATGTATTGGAGATTATTTAGCATTTGTGCTTTATTCTCTTAACATTTAATTTATTTTGTTCTTTTTTACTTGAGGATCCCTATTTAATCTAATTTCACAAATTCTGTGGTCTTCTTCATTAATTACCAATAAATTGGTTATAGGTTTCAGGCTAGTTGTTTTTAGTGTTTTTTCTATTCTATGTTTGTCACGCCCCGGACCTCCCCGGACACGTCAACAACCCGCCGTACAATACGAATAGTCAACCGCAGTCCAACACATTCATATTATACAAGGCGTCTTGAATATCATTCACACATATAACATCCATAAACAAACATAATAAGTAATTCATAACGCAGCGGAAAACATTGTTTAAAACAAAAGGGCCACACAGGGCTATTCATGAGCACGCAGGCTCTAAAGTAAAATATCCATGAGCATGTTTAATATTGTTCAAACAGAATGGAGAAAGCACGAACCACGTCTTCTCTCCAAAGGATCACCCGAGCAACGGGCACAGGTAGCAAGCTCGAGCCTCAACCTGAAAAATGGTAGTGGGACGCCCCCGAAGGGGTCAGCACTCTATAGGGCTATAAAGTGCTGGTGTGGATGGCATCTAATAGATATACAACAAGTATTTTAAACACAAGACCCTCAAATAGGGTGGTAATACAATATAGTGGTAACCCTAAGTTACCCCGTTTTAAAAATATACTTACTTTAATAAAAGTCAAGTAGTCCGCCCGTGGGCCCATGTTCATTTAGAAAATCACCATTCTCATTCCCCGTGACTATAAGCCACGACAATTCATAAGTTCATCACGTTACCATTGCATAGCAAGGGCTCGGCCCAACTACATTTCTATGCAATCCTTTATGTCAAGTACATCCTATCACATTTGCATAGCAAGGTCTCGGACCAACTACATTTCTATGCAAATCACAATTTACATCCTATCACATTTGCATAGCAAGGTCTCGGACCAACTACGTTTCTATGCAAATCACAATTTACATCCTATCACATTTGCATAGCAAGGTCTCGGACCAACTACATTTCTATGCAAATCACAATTTACATGGCAAGGTCTCGGACCAACTACATTTCCATGCAAATCATAGAGTCCGGCTCTAATTCCTCATTATAGTCCAATTCCTAAGCAAACCTATGCCTAGAATTGGCATCTCAAATGCTTCGTATCTACCTTGGTCATTCTTAATGACTGCCCATAACTTACCCTTAGCTTCATACTAAGTCATTTTATACACTTGAAGTACATTCAAGTGCATTTCATACAATCCAATACTTAGGATCAATTCTATCAACAACTTCAAATAATCACTAACTAGTATTTCAATACTATTAAGATTATTGTCATCATACAAATATCCTCATTTTGTAATTCTCCACATATTTATAAGTGTGTAGCCGCAACTTAAGTACTCAATTTCAATACATAAATATTCATTTATGTATCCACATAATTCATACATGAGTAAAATCCCCATTTCACAAAATAGTTCATTTATAACTCATTTAATCTCATATTATTCATACATCCTCAAATCATTTCCAATTTCATTCTTTGGGAACTATATCAATATTTAATCATAATAATCCATGAAAATTATGATTTAGGCATTTAGGTAATCTCATGCTTAACCTACAAGTTGTAAGCAATTAGATGTCGATCCTCACCTCAAATGAGCTTTAAAACTTTCCTTCTCGATCCAATGACCCAAGCTTCGGCCAAGGAAGATTGAGGACTGATTCCTTGCTTGGAATTGAGTGTTAAACAGCCTCTTCAAAGTGCTAGTTCAACTCCTAACCGAAGGCACAAAAACAGTCCCTAGAACGGGTGTTTCCCGACGAAATCGTTCCCTAACCTTTCAAGGTTTTGTCTAGATTAGTATCTAACTTTTACAACAATTAAAGTCACTTTATAATAACATTTTATACACTTCAATCAGTGTATAATAGTTCTTCAATCACTTATATGGTTTAGACAATAGAGAGGAAGGTTTTGGATTCAAACTTACTTTGAATACAAAAACGTATTCTGCGAGGTCGTGTTTTGCTCGGTCGATTTGGAAGTCTTCCACTACTCCGATTGATGCAAACCAGACCTTCACGGATTCCTCGTCTTGAGAGATTTCTGTTGGTATCTCGCACGCCTTATTTGTATGAGTAAATCTCAAGTTATGGCTCAAACAGTCAGAGCTACGCACTGAAGAACGAACCTGCGGACTGCTCTCCTCCTTCTTTCTCTCTTGGGTTGTGTGGACTCCCTTGCTCTCTTATCTCTTTGGGGGTTCGAATGGGGTGTAGGGGGAGTGTATTAGGAGACCCTAAACATGCTAAAAGAGTATGTGGCTCACAAAAGAACATGGGAGGTATTTGGTTTGCAATCAAATATGGGGTGGACCTCCCTCTTTTGTTTTCTGTTGGAATTTTTTTGTGCATGTGAGCCAAGAGCCCGCCCCATATAGTCTTCTCACCTCTTTTCATTTGTTTTGCAGGTACTAAGTCCATGTGGAATGGTTCACAATTGATCCCATTCAACTTGGAGTCCAAAATATCTACCAATACTTCCAAAAATGGGAAGATGGGTCGTATTGTTTTATCTTTTGTCAAAGATGTCTTTTTGTACTCATCCTAATTTATTTAGAACAAGTCAACTTCCTTCATCACATTATTGATCTCCTAATATGTGTAGGTTCATCTCAATAATTTACTTTGTGGGTATCATAGAAGAAAATCTTACTCCCATTATTTAGCTCAATAATGTCAAAGATGGTATCATAGGCATTTGTATTCATCTCAAATCATCCTATCACTTATTTTGACATTTGTCATCCATATTATTGGGCTACAAGCCGTGTGGGTCGCCCCCGAGTGGGCCTACGACGCCATTCTCGAATACTTGCTATTTTAGCGGGTTGAGCCCAAAATAATATCTGGGCCGCCCGCCCCTCCTCAACTTGTCTCGAAACGTTATGTATCACTATTTAGATAATGCTAGGCTCTTTTATTTATTAAAAAGGCCCGATACTAATATACGAGTTCGAACAGTATAATAATCAATCGTTAATTACTTAAAACCACAATCGTTTCACAATTGTTTGGGAATCAGAAATTCAATACATAAACTTTGAATTTTTTTTTTTTTTAAATTTGAATTTTCAAGGACGTTCGGGTGCGGTGTCACAAGTTCACCCCCCCTTAACAGGAATTTCGTCCCCGAAATTCACAGCTCTACTCGAATAGGAAAGCATACTGCTTCCTCATCAAAGCCTCTGTTTCCCATGTCTCTTCTTCAACCCGATCACTCTTCCAAAGGACCTTAACCATTGGAACTTCTTTACTCCTCAGTTTCTTCACCTTTCTATCGGTGACCTTGATCGGTTGCACAGCGTAGTTCAAACCCTCACGTACCTCCACAGGCGGCTTCTCCAATGCGTGAGAGGGATCATGCACATACTTCTTAAGCATGGATACATGGAACACATTATGTATCTTC